TGCGTAAATACTTATGGAGTGTAGCTCCCGTAAGTTGAAGCTCGAACCCCGTGAACCGCGCAATTAACACCGCGGGCCTGAATCCTCTCTGGTATCTCTGGCATCCTCGGTGTGAAATTCTGGAAAAACGAACGACCCCTCCGCTTTCTCGCTTTCGTATTTCCACAAATATAATCTATGATCTTGAAATTTAAATTGTAAATACCCCATATATCGCGTCTTCATATCTTCAACAAACATTTTTAAAAAACCTTTCTTAAAGTGAAATTAATCATTAACTATTCGTACATATTTCAAATAACTGCTCGACGTATCCTTCGACGTTTATAAACAATATTTTTATCGATTTTGGGAAAATAACTCCGCAACGATAACCGAAAATAAAAATGTCGAGCGATGTAACGATAATTAACGGAGACAGAAGCGCAACTGAAATTATACTGGCATCCGGCCAAAACAATCGACCGGTCACTTTGTCAGGAATCTTTCGTTCCGGAAAGTGGCGCGATGGGCCTCGATTAACGCCTAGCGCCCGTTCCTCGTCGCAACGAGGGGGGAGGGGAACAACGGCGAAATCTCCGAGAAATGCGAAACATCGCTGGAATCCGCGTGCCACCCTGACAGCCGGTGCCACGAGCCGGCGAGTCGCGAGCTGTCGGCCCACCGGGTACATGGGACAACTATGCACGTGCACCGTCCTTCGCTCCGTTCGGAATATCGTCCGCGAGCCTTGTCCACCTCCGCCTCGTCCATCCTCCGCTCGTTAACGTCCATCTCCGCGCACGGAATCGCGATCTCTGACTTTCGATCACCTCCATCATCCGCCCGTGCGTGTCCCTCGAGGGTGTGGTCTCTCTCTTGGAAATCCACTCTTCTCCGTTTTATAAATATTCTCTCTCTCTCTCTTTCTTTCTTTTTTTGCAAACTTTATGTATTTGTTATCGATGAGATATTTACGAAGATGTGGTATCTGTTTAATATTAATATTCTTCTTTATCAAAATTTTACGAAAGAAAGGTAATTTTTATATTTGGGATAGGATAATCTTCTTATGCAATTGATGTATGTATTTGTTATCGAGGAGATATTTACGAAGATGTGGTATCTGTTTAATATTAATATGCGTCTTTATCAAAATTTTACGAAAGAAAGGTAATTTTTATATTTGGGATAGGATAATCTTCTTATGCAATTGATGTATGTATTTGTTATCGAGGAGATATTTACGAAGATGTGGTATCTGTTTAATATTAATATGCGTCTTTATCAAAATTTTACGAAAGAAAGGTAATTTTTATATTTGGGATAGGATAATCTTCTTATGCAATTGATGTATGTATTTGTTATCGAGGAGATATTTACGAAGATGTGGTATCTGTTTAATATTAATATTCTTCTTTATCAAAATTTTACGAAGGAAAGGGTAATTTTTATATTTGGGATAGGATAATCTTCTTATGCAATTGATATATGTATTTGTTATCGATGAGATATTTACGAAGATGTGGTATTTGTTTAATATTAATATTCTTCTTTATCAAAATTTTACGAAAGAAGGGTAATTTTTATATTTGGGATAGGATAATCTTCTTATGCAATTGTAGAAGATAAGAATGATTGTGAAGATACGGATGTATAGGATGGACGAGTGGTAAACGATTTTCGGCGATAACGGGTTAATAATTCTTCGGGTTTTCTCATCGAGGGTCCACGGGGCGAGGAAGATGAAACGCGATACCGAATTAGAAACAACTGTGTCCGTATAACGATACAAGAAACGTTGGCTCAGTATTTGGCGCTGTGTATTTTGGCACTTGCGTCTAGTAGCCGTTTTGGTCGTTACCATTTGTCTTCTGTGGACCATGATACCTTCAGGCCCGTCCCAGTTCCTCGTTATTCCTCCGTATATCTTTTTTCATTCGCCGATACGATTATTTATAGCGATATCTCGAGTGTTTCGTACAGCTAGAGACAGTAACTACACTTGGGATTTGATTTCTAAAATAAACAATTTTATTCGGATTGGGCAATTGAAATAATGATGTTAACGATTCGAAACGTATTCCATCTATCCTCTGCTATTTTAAAGCGTAAAGGGATAGAGAAATTAAAAAATTGTTTCTATAAATTTTTATAATTAAATTTTGTATATAAGAGTTTTCCAATTTTAGAGAGAGATAATTTAATCGAGGAAAAATATTTCGATAAAGACAGACAATTTTTCGACCGAGTTTCCTACGGGGATAGGGGATTTCGAGGAATGGATTCGCGAATTTGTCCGCCACCGGGGGAGAAATATGCAATCTCGCGCATAGTTACGCGCGTTCCACGCGTGATTGTCAGGATCGATAGCGGAGGATACGGCGAGTAATGCTCATTAGGTGACAGGATTATCGAATTTTTTTCCCCTCGACCACCGTTCTCACCCCTTAATTGCCTTTCAACACCATAAATTTCCACGCGCCTATGTGGATTCGCTGTTGATCGATTAATAAGCGAGAGCATATGGTTAAAAGATTCTCGGGAGATAAATGGAAATACCAAAAGCGGATAATGTTTCCTCCTTAAAGTTTCATCCGTCATTTAATTATTTCTTTATATATAATTGCAATTTTGATTAACATTTTCTAAAGAAAAAATTCCTACTTTTTTGCCAAATCCTCTCGATAATTCTTTAGACATTGGCACAAAATGTTCCCGATTTTAATGAAACGAAATCAAATCTATTTAAAATACATTCACCTTCCTTATTGCATCCTTATCAAAATCGAAGAAGTTTCTTTGAAAAATGCACTTGTATAATTGAAACAAAATCCCGTGTTTCGACATAAACAAAATATTCCAATAATATGAATATCTTTTAAAACCTATAAATAATAAGATGAAAGTAGCCTCGTAGCTTCTCAAAGACGGTTGACAAAACTTTATTTCAAAACTTAGCACGAGAAAGGGGAATAAGAACGATTAGGAAAACGATCGATTATTCGCGGATGAATCGATTGTTCAAACGTATTCAAAGGAAGGAGAGAGGAGGGGGGAAAAAATCTGACCTGACCAAGGGAGGAGGATCAACGCTGATCCTTTTGGGGCGGGCAGGCTAATAAACCGAGAGGGGAGAGACATTTTTCTATAGGAAACGCACACACACGGGCCCTGCTTTGAATTCAGATCGCGCGCGGGCCCCATGCGGGCCGCTGTTTTCTTCCTCTTACGCCGCCAATTTATGCAATCCGACCCGCGCGTCCTCCGCGTATTTATAACCGGGGGCCCTTTGTGTGTTAATTTGTTGCAGCCAGGCCCGCGATCCACGCTCGCCCGCCCTCTTCGTGCCCCCTCGTCGACCTTTGATCCGCGAAAAATCGAGGGATCCCCCCTCGAACCCGCCAAATCACGACCCACCGTCCCTTAATTAGCCGAAAGTCACTCTTTTTTGAAAATCTCGCGGATGATGTACGTGTAAGAAAGAGAAGATATGATCGAATTGATATTGAAATGAACACAGGATATCAAAGTATCCTGTTTCGATATAGGAGATATGATATATTTTTATAATATCGAATTAAAGATTTCGACGCCTATTTCTTTCGACCACTCGTGAATAGATTTCTTTCGATGGATTTTGTTTGGGAAGTTACGAGCATTAAAAGTTTCTTGCCTACGTGAAAAAAGAAGGGTAAAGGATTCTGTTATAAGCCTGAAATACTTAAAGCGATGGTAAAAGAGTTGAGAAAGACTTCAGCTTTACGAGATCGATTGGTGTTATTATGTAAATATATTCGCACTTGACTGGAGGAAAAAAGAATGATACAAAGTAACTACGCGATACATTTATATTATAATACCAACCGAATCATATATACATTCATACATGAAGTAAAGTAAACTATACAAAAGGTTGAGCCGAAAATTCCTCGAGTTTACGACCGCCATTACGACTTTTACTTTTTACCTTTACCTCAACACCCCATTGCAAACGAGAGAAGCTCGAATCTGACATTTGACCCTTAAACCCTACCCTACCTTACCCTACCCGCTCGACACGAGGATCGGCTTTTCAGGTAGCCGTTCGTGAAATACAGGTAGCTGTCTCCGCATGAAAAACAACGTTACACCGACAATACGGTACGCAAATCCCGTTACACGTGGTGGCATCCGGTTGGCGTGGTCAGACCAGTAGTAGGCGCGCATCGTCCCGTAATATCGTCGCGGAGGAGATATTCCTCGACCTCGCGTCGAATGGAATGGATAAAATGGAAGAAAATTCGCGAAAAAAACGAATTTATCGGCGCCTAAGCGGCCCTCTTTAATTAATACCCGAGATGGAGGGGGTGGGGGTTAAAATTATCGCGGCCGAATTGAAGAAACCAAGAGCGGAAAACGCGTACTGGTGGTCCAATTAACCGACTGGCGGTCGGGAAGGGAATCGGTGCTTTTTCTCCCTTCCGTTCCCGACCCCACGCCATATGGAACAGCTTAGACGAGAAAGAAAATATTGGCTACCGAGAAATGGCCATCACCGATCGACTTTGATCATCCGATTTTTTTATGAGGAATGGTCGCCGGTGAAATTACGCGGCTGTTCCATACGAGATGCGGTGTAATCTCTGATATAAATAACCAGGTTTCTTCTCCAGACTCGTAAGAAAGAAACAAAGAAATGTTTTGCACAATAAAAATGCTACTTATTGTATCGAATTGTTAATGATATAAAGTGTTCAAATTTTATCCTGAGCGAGAATTTTCTTTTCTTTTTTTTTTAACATTTTTATTCGAAACCTGATATTTGCTTAAATATTTGCGCCTGCGTATATACACGAATGGTTTCGTTTGCTCGAAAGAGACGGAACGAACGGGTTAATCGAACGGGTTAAGGAATCGATTGCACGAGATAAGCATCGAGTCGAGTGGGATCGAGCGAATATACAAGATCGTGGAGCAGATCTACCGGCGAGAAAAAGAGGGAGGATTAATAAAAGACAATGTTGTTCTCTCTGTTGCAGCGCTGAAGGTGAAGCTTACGCTGAGGCGACCCATCAATCAGCTGGTTGCGCAAGGGATCATGCCATGTAAGTAGATACCGGCCTGTAAATGAAAATTTTCGATTACTTTTTTATTCGCCGGTTCTTTTCGAATGAATAAAACGGGTATAAGGAGCATAACGCGGTTTCGAGCGAGTATTTCGGAGAGTAAATTCAATTAGGTTTAGATGGTAGCAGCCGCAATAAAACTGTGGACAAAAAAGTCCAGAGGAGAGTTCGTATCGTTCGTGGTATACCGATGGTATATGGTGTTTAACGGGTATTTAGCGTGAGAGGCAAAGGGGAAACGATCTCTCTCTCTCTATACGATCGAACAAATTTATTTGGCCGTCAAACGAGAGAGAGAGGGAGGGAGGGGGAGGGAGGGGAATTCGAGTTAGATTTAACAAGTTCGTCAACGTGTCGCGTTTTTCCTCCCCTTGGTAACGGCCGATTAATCCACTTACAACTTAATTACCACGCGATTGCCCGTGATGGCTCGGCCAACCTCGTAAAAGGAAGTAACTGGGACACGAGCGACTTCCTAAAGTACCTTAAATTGACGTACGGTGATCAATTGCCAGCTAATGCCTCGTCCGATCTTTTCTGACGATTCCTTCCCAAGAAATTGTCGACACCAGCTTCAACTCGTAAGAAACTGGTCGGTCCCCGATGTTAGAACGATCTAAACGAAGAATTTGTTCGTTTCAAAACGCATCTCGAACGTAAACTTTATAATAACGGAGGAAGGCTTAAAATTCGGCGGAAAATTCTATCGATTTTATTCGAACGCGACTTTATCGATTTCTTAAATATTTGAGGCAATGAATGATACGAATTGCATCGAGTATCGTCGGGATTCATTGGTGTAACCACGCTCGGGACAAACCTAATTGGCGGGGTAATCGCGAGATTCCACGCATCACGAAATACGCGTCACCATGTTTATCGCGAGGTGGGTAGAAATACGACGGCCGATACCCTCCGTTTCGAGTGGCGTTCATGCGAGCCTTCATGTGCAATTTCGTTCCGCGGGATTTACTCATTTACAGCTTCCAGGAGTCGAAGATATCGCGCGTGGTAACGGGTAATGGTTTTTTCGGGGAAACGGCTCGCAATGACTGTTGTAAATCTGTTTACGTGCCGCGATTAATTTCTTCTGCTAATTTTACCGGAATAAAGAACCCTAATTTTAACGCTTCAAACTAATGACAGTCTCTCTCTCTCTCTCTCTCTTTTGTGATTTTTTTAAACAATATCGCGGTTAAATATTTATGGGAAGATTAAGAATTGATGTACGATATTCGTAATATTACACATATAAGACATTTACGAAAGTATAAAAATTATTTATCGAAAGAGTGAAAAGAGATACAGAATGAAAATAAAATAATTCCCTTCTAAGATTCATTTGTAACAACAATAATTCAAAAATTACTTTAAACGTTTTGTAAAGAATTAATCTCGAGAATTAAATTGGAAATAGCACGAAAAAATACATTGTAATTCAAAAACTGCAAATTTTGAATTGTGTCATTACAAATATTTGCGATCACTAAGAATCAAATAAAAAGCATCCTTGAAAAAAATTAAGATGAATCGATGTTTCACGATCTATCGAGAATTACCTAATTGGATTCGTTTTTTTCTTGAAATAATAAAATTTTTACGAAAGTATTTAACCATTCATGTATATATATTTCGAAATATATATCCGTTTTCGCGAACAGAATGGAAATTCGAACAATGAAGCTGTCCGATTCACTATGGAAACGGTTGCATAACCGTCGAAATTTTCCTTATTATATTATACAATACACCCACGCGCGATCCTCGCCAATGAACCAACCGCTGAGAAACAACAAGAAACGAGAATCGTGAAATCTAAATCGAGCGTTTCACGCGATTCGTGCAGAGAGAATTTTTTTTCACGTTTGACAATCGATCAGGATTCGAACAAGAATTTACATTCACGAACGAATAAAACTTTTTATTTCGCGAGTTATCTTTCACGAGTAGATAACACTTGTAAAACACCATTGAATATTCCGTATTTTTATAAACGTCAACCATTTTTCACAAATCACACGCGCACAAAGAGTGTTCAAAATAACTAACTATTAACCAACCAATTGTCGATTTTTATGCAAAGAAAGCACGCAACGAAAATTCTTCTCTGCACCACTAACACAATAATTCAACGCTAATCAACGGCGCAGTAATAAGAAACGTTGTGCAAGGACGATCGCGATTAGGAGTGTTCGATCGCGGATCGTAAATCCGGAATCTCGATTGGCCTGTTACGACTGCCGTCCGTCCATTCCGATCGCGGATGATTTAGGGGTGCCGGTTATCTTCGCTCTTTGTTTGAACGATTACTCGATGAGATCCTACTTGATGGATGCGGACAGTTGGAACGAGACGATTGCCATGAGATACGATCCTTATTTATTTTTATGCTCCATCGATCAAATAACTCGTGATTTCTCAAACTGAAACTAAACTCTGAAAAAGAAAATTTATATAAAATTTATATATATTATATATACACTATATCGGTAGATTTTAATTTGTTAAAAAATTAACTTTCTCTAACGAAAGAAAAGAATCTTGTTTCGAGCGTCGTTGATAAATATTTATTACGTAACTCGATGAATTATCGAAACCGAAGTTTTGCAAAGAAATCGTTTCGTTATAACGATTTTTTACAACGTTATAACGATTAAAATTAATTATTAAATTAATTATTAAATTAATATAAAAGAAATGGAAGAGGAACGCTCGAAAACGATCTACGCAGTACGAACGCTTTCACGTAAATGGAACGATTCTATTTGTATTGAAAATACGAGCCCGTTCGAAGACGTAATTACCTTCGTTGTAAATATTATTTACACGAGAGACTCGAGTGTCGTCTCCGTGTATATAAACATAATAGTAAAATTGCGCGACGATATTAAATTTGTCGAACGAAAAATTCGAACGCTTGATGTTTTTAAATTTATTTCCTTTGCCTTTTTTTTAATCTAATCGAAAAAAAGGAGGAAAGAGTTGGAACGAGAAATAAATTTTTTTTTTAATTCCGAAATTACGATAACATTTTAATTACATGCCACCATCAAACAAGATAATTTAAAAATTCATCGTTTTTAATTATTAAAAACGAAATTAAAAAATAAACAACGAATGTTTTTTTATATATCAATTTTGTAGCATTAATATCAATACTCATATCGATATCGAATTACGCCGTGCGTGAAAATTTTGTGAGGGAACGATGCCTTCAAAAAAATCTCTTCGCTGATCTGGAGTTTATTCTTCAAATTTTTCATTTACTTTGCCGTGGGTATAGGCTTC